CCCATTTAAAAAAATCAAAATACCTTAACATTAACTGACATTCAATCTTCAAGTGCATCATGAGACAGTCCCTATACCATACAGTCGGTTGTACGGCTTGTACCGTACACCCGGTGGCATTTTTTATAAATTATGTGAAAAGCTCGCCTCCTATTGAATGACCATTAATAATACATTTTTACGGAGCATTAGACCTTCTTGTTTGAGTATTAAGAGTCTAATAATGAGCATCGTAATCTCTGCTTCATATCCTGTTATTCGATTTCTTTTTCTTATTTTTTAAAATATGTACAGTGAACCCATATGAGTCTAATATGTGAATCTAATCTACTACTCCCTATTATACTTTTGAAATATGCAAGGATATGAAATTTTAAAATGAGTATTGAACCAATATCAAATGATGAGAACACATAATTTATGAAATGAACAGCGGAAAAATTCAAAAAGCTCATTTAACATCTACAATACGCTCAAATTTTCATTTGTGTACCTCATTTGAATTCTCTAGTATGCTTCATTTGTGTATGCTCATTTAATTTTTCTAATGTGCTCAAATCAAATATTCATTTATGTATGCTCAATTCTTTTAACCGTTATGCACATTTATTATAAACAATATACTCATTTCCAATATAACATAAAACTTATATAATTAATTAATAAGCTGAATATTTTTACACACAATATGAAAATATAATATTAAAATATAATACTCTCTCCGTCCCTTTAAACTTTGCCATCTTTGAATTTTTTGGTCAACCATGTTCAACTTTGACCAATTATATATCTTTGTAGAAATTATTTATGATAGGCTAAAGAGTCAAATAGGTACATGAACTAACTTAAAGTGTTCAATTAGCCCCTTATATAGGAGGTTCTGCCCGGTCGTCGCCAATTGGGGCGGTTCCCGGTGGATTTTTTTGATGAAATTTTTTGATGAGCATATTCTTCATTAAGTCTAGTTTACTCATACCAAATGTCAGCTAAAAATTCGACCGGGAAGGCAGTCAAATGATTTTTTGAAGATAACTGCGCAGTTAAACAGCGCAGTACATTTCGGAAAATCATTTGACTGCCTTCCCGATTTAATTTTTAGCTGAAATTTGATATGGGTAAACTAGACTTAATGAAGAAGATGATCAAAAAAATTCATCAAAAAATTCCACCGGGAACCACCCCGATTGGCGACGGCCGAGCAGAACCTCCTATATAAGGGGCTAATTGAACATTTTAATTTAGTTCATGTACCTATTTGACTCTTTAGCCTTTATTATATAGAAGTTATGTGAAAACGTTCTTTGTTAAAAGTAGTTTCATAAAAGTATAAAACTTACCATTTTCAATACTATACTAATCAAAATTATGGTCCAAACTTTACCACCATTGACTTGAAAAGTCATAGATAACAAAGTTTTTCGAGACAGAGGTAGTATTAAAATACAAGTTGAAATTTGTGAGGTTACCGTGCCTAGTGAGGGGTCTCAAGTTCGAAACCCGCTAGGCACATAAGGATTTGAAACTCAATGGAACGAGTTTCAGCCCTGATTGTTCCAGGCCCCAGACCCCCTCCCCCAGACCCCCTAAAGTTAAAAAAAAAGAATAAAAAAAACAAAAAAATACAAGTTGAAATTTGTCCTATGTGATTTGAGACTTTGCCTTCGGACAAAAGACCACAACACACAACGTGATTCTCCTTCATCGAAACTCCCAACAAGCGAGCAACACCTGACATCAATTTTCTTTGGGAGATCAAACTCTTCGGACTTCAGCGAGCGAGCAACAGACATCAATCGGCGCCTCCTTCCTCAGACCTCAGCGAGCAGCACAACGGGGAAGAACAAAACTACAACTTTTAACACTGGAGTTGTAATTAATTGCAAAAATATCTGGTTGTACGATGAACACCGTCCAACCGAGTGTAGGATATAATTTACCATCATGACTCGTACAACGGTAAAGGAAGCAAGTCTACAGTTTCTGCGTATATTATTTTTAAAAATTGGAACTCTACTAAAGTTCTCTCAAAATTTTGGACCTTTTGAGATATTATTTGAGAGATTTCTCTAAAATGTCTCATTTCACCTCTTATTTATTTTTAAGTTTTTCTACTGATTTTTTTTTAATGTAATCACACTTCTGTTATGCTCTCTGTGTAAATGGTACGAGTTATGTGTTTCAAGTTTCAACGTATGTCTTTCTTCTTGAGAGAGTGATACATTAATGCATTAAACCCTTATTTTGGAACAGAGTTATCATCGAAACTTAGAGTCAGGGACGGACCCAGAAAATGCAGTTATTGGGATTTGGGGGCATTAGGTGTTTGAAAATTTTGAGATCTCAGAAGTATTTCTACACTTTCACTCAAACGTTCTAGAGGAATGTTTGCGATTGCTTCTACTTCAAAAAATGTTTTTTAAAGTGATTTTGGATAAAGTACTTAATTGTAAAAATTGATAGTGTTTGAGAAAAAAGTGATTATGAAAACGCAAGAGTTCGTAGTGTTTGATAAAATAAAGGTTTTTTGTGTTATAAAAAAAGTGAAAAGCAGTTTAAAGCACCATTCCACATGTTTCTTGCTATTAAGTGATTAATTTAAACAAAATATTTCATTTGAAAACTCTGTTTGCCTTTTTTAAGCCAAAAGATGAAAAACATTTTTTAAAGCTTTAGCAAACACTCTAATATACGGTTCAACTCTCTGGAGGAGCAGAATTAGTTTTAAGAAGTAGATCCAAACACTATTTTTTCTGCTTCTTTTTTAAAATAGAAATAGAATCATAATAATTTTTATTTACTCCCAGACATGCACAATCATGCTAAAGTTATATGTTTAAAAAACAAGTACTTATTAAATTTAAGTGACTATAATAGTTTTACTACTAATAGCTTAGGTTCAATTTTTATATAGTTGTATTTAAGTGGCCAATGACCATGACAAATTGACTTAATAAACCTTATTATGAAAATAAAGATTGGGAGAATAGCAATTTTAAATTATTATTAGTCGAACGAATAATTGACAAATGGAGTTATAGAAGGTGGATTTCTTGGAAAATTGATTTGGTAACAGAAATTCGAATATTCTTTCTCAACTCTTAAACTACTCTTTCTTTAGGCTTTAACAATTAGAATAACATATATTACCTCCGTCCTCCTAAGTTTGGGACAAGAGAAGGTGGCACGATTATTAATAAAAATGGGTTTATGTGGTTGGTATTGAATTGATAAAGTAAGAATAAAGTAGGAATGATTTAGAACCACACAAACTTTACCAAATAATGTATGAGACAATCATAGCGGGACGGGGGGAGTAATTTTTAAAAGATAAAATCGAGTCTTACAAAACATGAATAGGGGGCCGACTCTATTAGGGGTGGAAATAGGCCAGCCGGCCTGTCAGGGGCCTGTGGCCTGGCCTGTTAAAAGCCTGGCCTGGCCTGTTTAGTAATCAAGCCAGGCTTGAGCTTTTTAAAAAGCCCGTTTATTTAAAAAGGCCAGGCCTAGCCTAATTCTGAAGCCTTTTTACCTTAACAGGCCGGCCTATTTATATATGTGTATATATATATATGTATATATATCTAGTTATATTCATATTTATTTGTATTATTTATATTTATATTGTATTTATATTGGTATACTCAACTATAGCAAAATCGGTATAATAGTATTTTTAGGGAGTGTGTATTATAAATTAGAATAGAATACTATTTTAAATATACATAAAGTGTGTTAATAGTTTATTAAGGTAATTGAAATTCAAAGTTTTTCAAGATTTAAAGTATATAGAAATTTATAAACTACATAATAATACTCCATAATAATGTATTATTAGATATCTAAAGCAAAACTAACGTATTATTATACTTTTTAGTGAATATTTAGGGAAATAAATTTTATAGCGGATTAAAAGGATTTTACACTTTTCATTTTTAATTTTTTTGAAATTTTGTTTTTTTCTTAACATGCCCGGTGAACAGGCTTCAGGCCAGGCCAGGCTTTTGAACAGGCCAGGCCCAGGCCGAAAAAACAGGCCTTTAACAGGTAACAGGCCAGGCCCAGGCCTATATATTCTAAAACAGGCCCGGCCTGTTTAGGCGAAAGCCTGGCCTGGCCTGGCCTGTTTCCACCCCTAGACTCTATGCATCTCTTACATTTCAAAATGATTGTGGATTATTTAATGGGGGCATTTTTTTTTGGTTGGGGGCACAAGTGAATAATTGATTAAGAGTAATAAAAAAACACTAACAAAGACAAATGTTATTAGGGGCAAGTGCCCCCATCCTCCAAAGGGTGCATCCGCCCCTGCTTAGAGTTCGTTTGGTAATACTTAAATTGACTGTATTGACTGATTCTGTTGAAATTTATGAAGTTCTGACTGAAGTGACTGAATTGGCTGTTTCAGCTGATTTTTTAGAAAATTACATTTAAAATATATTTTATTAATAAAATAAAGAAAAATCATATGAAAAAACAACTAAAAGGATTATCAAAATAACTTAAGCCAGAACAGTCAGAAAATAACTTCAACCTTATTTTTTCTTATTATTACCTGATTCAACGCGCGAAATCAAAAATTACGTGTTTAGTAAAAAAATTGACTGATAAACCTGATAAGCCGAAAATTAAGATTACCACACATTAATGGCGAGTACAAGTAATTTTTGAAAATTCATAAAATTTTAAAAATTGGATTAAGAAAAAAAAAATGAAAAGAAGATGTGGGATCCAAATATGGAATCGGAGGAAATAACACAACCATAAAATCTTAGAAGGAATCCTCCAAAGAAACGAAGACCATACATGTTTTTGGGAGGAATTGGTTATTCCTAACAAACATTGTTCGCATTTCGAAACATGTACAGCAATCGTGTGGCTGGTATTCATTTCGTTCGTATTTTTTGAAAAAAAGCACGTACGCACATGACTTTTTGGGACGAATCTGAGCCACTGGATTCATGAAGCAGGTTAAAATTGTTTGAATATTTTCCGGCGGATGGGAATTGAGTCGGTTGACCTAACTTAGACACCTGTCATCGTCGTCTGGTGCGCACAAATCTGCACATTTCTTTCACCTTCTCCACTGTTTCTTTCCTTCTCCGTCTACGCACTTCACCAGCTTTTCCAAAAATATCTTTGCTCTTCATCATTAGCAACCCAGAAGAAAGAAAGGGCGACCCATTGTTTGGGATTTTGGATCGGATTCCCTTTCGTGAGTTGGTGGTAGAGACTAGAGACGCTGAATGATGCTGGGTCTGGGTGGATTCATGGAAGAAGCTGATAATTGAGAAGAAATTTTCTGAGCGACAGATTTGATAACAGAAGTCAAGGAGAATGAGAACGTTGTGTGATGCTTGCGAGAGCGCCGCCGCCATACTCTTCTGCGCCGCCGACGAGGCTGCTCTTTGCCGTGCTTGCGATGAAAAAGTTAGTTTCTTTAAGCCTCATCATGATTACTAGTACGAAATGTTTCTTGTTCATTTCATGTTTACAAGTATGGCTATCTGCCTTATAAGCAGGCCTGATGAAAGTTTGGAATTTGAGTTGCGTTTTGATCTGATTGTTCTTTTGTTGTTTGTTATTGCATACTATCTATGATGATGTGATTGCAAACTGTGAATCCAACCGCTGGGGCTGTGGTGGGTTAGTAGTTGTAGTAAGGCTTTGTTTGGTTGATGTAGGAGGAATAGGAGAGGAACTGAAGAAGTAGTTTGAAGGTAGAAAAAAAGAAGAGAAATAGTTGTCTGATTGGAGATGATAGAGTTAAATATTTGAATGGAAAGTGATCTAATAGGTTTAAAAGATGAAAGACTAGCATATTTGTTTGCCACTATTTATTTCATCCCTTTTCTCTCCAATATGGTGTGGAAGTTACTATTCATTTGGGGGAGGGATGTTTTGCTGTTTCCTCTCCCAAAGCATGAAAGTTTCTAAATTACAGCAATTCCCACTCCCCTTTTCCTTCCTATCAATTTCCACTTACCCAACGCACACTAAAGGAATGCAGTTTCTTTATTTGACCAACTGTAAGGATCATCGTCATCTAGCCAATTGATCAATAACTCATTATTTAACCAATTGATAAATTGGGCCATGATGCTTTTGCAAATTTCTATCAAGTACAAGTCAACAGGGCCCACAGTGCCCTGAAAAGGCAAGCCGTTTCAGACTTCATTGTGATACAAGACCCGTTCCGTCAGGGTTGAATTTATTGGCAGTTGTAACACAATCCAACAGTTACCTATTCTTTGGCGCATCCAATTTTGCACCAAATAACTAAGAGCACAACAGTTAGTTTTGTTTTCTATTTAAAGCTGTCTGCCTATCTGGGGATGGAATTCCATATGAATTTAATGAATGAAATGATATCAGATTGGGCCGAACTTAGGTTAGGCTTTGGATCCCACAATCTGAAACTTATGATCCTGGTTTCACTTTCCACATTTTAATAACCCTTTCAAGTAGTGCAACTATCGTAGTCGATATATCGTCCAAACTATATGGGCTCACTGATCTTTATGAAATTAATTTTTTTTATACGTTGCATATGGTTTCTTCCTTACATTTGGGATATGGATTAATATGGACATACTTTCTTCTTGATACCTCCCCAAGTCATATTTTTTGGTGCACTTATATCTTACTTAACCCCTCTTGGACTCACTTTAGGAGAGGTAATGCAGGTCCATATGTGTAACAAGCTTGCCAGTCGACATGTACGAGTTGGGCTTGCTGACCCCAACAAAGTCTCACGCTGTGATATATGCGAAAATGCACCTGGTATGCAGGTTCATGCCTCTCCATTTTTCTCATCCTTTCTTTCACTTGCATAAAATGGTAAAAGTATGCACATCAGACATTTTTTGCGTGTAGCTTTCTTTTACTGTGAGATAGATGGAAGTTCACTATGTTTGCAATGTGATATGGTTGTTCATGTTGGTGGCAAAAGAACACATGGAAGATATCTTCTTGTAAGGCAGAGAGTCGAGGTTTGTGGAATGATTCTCCAGCAATTACTGGCTCTATGTTTTTTTGTGGGAAATCCTTAAATGTTACAAGTGTCTACCCATTGAAAAAACTTTAATTTTTTATTTTAGGGCATATATATTCCGAAATAATTACAAACTGTCAACGGCCGAAATAATTACAAACTGTCAACGACCATTGCAGTTTTAACTGGCCAGTTGAGATGGTAACTGCATTGGTGACTATTTTCTTGCCCGAAGGAATTTTAGTTAGTACTGTGTAGTATTTAAGGATGAATCCCATGTTTTCCCTAATCCTGCATATGCTTTACATTAAACCTTTTGTTTGTTATTTTCTGTAGTTTCCTGGGGATAAATCTGGACCATTAGATGAGCCAGTGGCGCAACCTACCGACATAAATGAGCCAAAGTGGGAGCCAAACCACCCCTTCAAGATGAAAGATAGTGCGCCAAGTAGCAGAGAACTGGGTGCCACTTTTCTAGACAAAAATGCTGAAGTTGGCAGAAAAACGGAGAACAAACTGATTGATCTCAATGCTAGACCTAATAGAATGCATGGTCAAGCTTCTGCTAACCATCAGGTATACACTATCACAAGAAAGGTTTTGTCACATTGACTATGAATGTGCTTTAGCAATTGATATGTGGTCTCAGGGACCCGGAATTGGCGGCCTTACTGATAACAATCACGAGTCAGACCGTGTAATGCATATCGGATCACTTAAAAGAGAGTCATAAAAAGTGGTTCTGGCATACTCTGACTGCCCTGGTATCCTCCTATATTCATTCTTTGTCCCCAACCTTCGTCACACATGTATGTTCATTATGTTAGATGATCTCCGTCCCTGAGAAAGGCCCTCCTTTGAGGTTTTGGCTTGATGCGCTTAGTACATTAATTTTATTTAGAGATTAACAAATTGAACCACACAATTCTAAATGGACCGTACTTTGGGATGCACGTAAAGCCGTAAAGGGAAGAGTGTTTTTTTTTTTACTTTTTCAGGGATGAAGTACCAAGTATTATTTTAGTCTGGAAGTGTTCATCAAAGGTTGTGATTAGTATGACACATGAAATACTACTTACTAATAACAACAACAATAATTATGCCAAGTACCTTGTGGTCTGATGGCATCACTGCGATCTCTCAAAGAGGAGGTCGCAGGTTCAAGTCCCATCTCAATCAAAGATGTTGTCATTAGCATGAACAAATACTATAATAGGTTTAGAAGAATATTAAAAAACAACAATAATTATAATAGTTATTAATACTCCCGCTGTGATGTCCCATCTTTCGCTTTTCGTCCGTTCCACTAAGTTTGTTCCATACCATATTAGGTAATGTTTGTGTAGTTCTAATTCAGATCTACTCTATTCACACTTATACCATTTAGTACAACTACATAATTTTACTTTCCCTAATAACTGCAGTATTGCACCACTCCCTTATATGTCTCAATCTTAGAGGAGGGAATGGAGGTAGTTTGATAGAAAAAGCCCAAAGTGTAATGTACTTTTTTCAATATTGTTTTCCAGGAAAGGAGAGATGGAGGATTGAAGGGAAAAGATTAAAGGATGATAAGTGATACACAATGCAGCTACATTCAGATTTGAAGATGTACGAAAAAACTTGGATTGACAACACTTATGTTGCCACCTCTGGTTCCTGAGAATAAATGATGAGTCATATGTTCAATCAAAAATTATTATTAACAGAAACACTTAGAGTAGTTTTGCAAAAGAGTATTGTAGATTCCAAACCGTGGGTTTTCCTCGATTATTTTAAACAAAAGTTTGCAGATGGTGATATTGTTGCATACTTGCATGTTACTATACAGTTTTGGGATACATTGTGTTTAGCTATATCTTCTTTCTAGTGTAGGGAGTTCTACTAAGTCGGTGGGAAAATCGGGCTGGCCGTGCACCTTGGCAGCTGGGCTGCCCGGATTAAATTTCTTACTAACCCAACTTATTTTTCAGCTGTCTTAAAACATTGTTTGATTCTATTCCAACATAATTTATTTTCATATTCCTACAATAAAAATAAGTTTTAAATATATGCGAAGTATACACTTTTTAGAATGTATAAGGACATTTTTAGAGACTAAAAAACACAAATCTCTTAATTTATTTATTAATTGTTGATATATTTTTACTACAAAAAACATACTACCTCCGTCCCGGTGGGCTTTGTCAAGTGCAAAGTAGGTGACAAATAATAATAGTAAAAATTGTGTGATTGTGATTTGTGCAGCGGAGAGTCAGAACCACAAATTAGTTGCTTTAATGGGAAAGTGACAAAGTTTTTTGGGACAACCAACAACAACAACAACATCCAAGCCGTAGTCCCAGACGATATTGAGGTTGGCTAACATGAATCGATACATGATAACACCAAAAGGAAAAAAAGAAAATAAAGATAAAAAAGATAAGCTATTATAAAAAAAGATAATATAAAAGATATGAATATACATATTAAAGATAAAATAAAAAGGATAAAGTAATATTTATATATAAGGATAAAAATATAAAAGAAAAAGAAAAAAAAAGAAGAAGAAAAAAAAAGGGGAAAAGATGATACAAGATCACTCCTCCACACGAATACCCGCTCTCCATTTTGCTCTCTCCAAAGGCATACCTCATCCAATCCAAGAAGAAGCATATCCCTTCTGATTCCCCTAACCCACGTTTGTTTGGGCCTTCCTCTCTCTCTTCCCTCTCTTTCTTCCTAACCCAACTTATTTTTCAGCTGTCTTAAAACATCGTTTGATTCTATTCCAACATACTACGAGGTACTCCCTCCGTCCCGCTATGATTGTCCCATTTTACTATTTCGGTCCGTCCCACTAAGATTGTCTCATTCCTTATTGGGAAAACTGTCAAATAAGTCCACGTACTTTGAACGAAAAGTCAATTAAGTCCACATACATTTTATCAGATCAATCAAGTCCGCGAACTATTAAAAAATGATCAAATCTGCTATTTAGCAGGTAGCTAACCGGTTACCCGGTCAATTGTTTACGTGGAAGTCCAAGTTGTTACTTTTTTATTGTTTTCTAATTTTTTCCATTTTTCTTTTCTTTTTCTTTTTCCTCTCCCTTTTTCTCTTTTCTTTCTCTTTCTTCTTTTCTTCCTGTCCGCTGAATACGCTCCCTCTTACCAGTCTGCAGCTCTACCATTTCCATTTCTTTCTTTCTTGTCTCCACCTGAAATCCATTCACTTTCTTCCATTTTTACTCCCTCTTCCACCTTGGAACGAACTCCGTTTCCCAGACCTCTCAAGCCACCACCTCCGCCGCCAGGCCTCCATAGCCACCGCATCCGGTCACCACCACCTCCGGCCTCCACCTCCACTTTCGCCGCCCCTCCTACACACCGCGCGCCTCCGGCCACCACCTCTGCGAGTCCACCTTCACCTACTCTATTGAAGCAACCTCCAGTCGCCCCGACCTCCATAGCCACGACCTCCGCCGCCCATACCTCTGTACACACCGCCTCCGCCCTCTGGCTACCATCTTCGTGGCCTACCCCCGCCTCTTCCACTGAAGCGACCTCCAACGACTCTGGCTTCCATAGCCGTCTCCACCTCTGCGGCTTATAACTATGCGTCTTCAAGTGAAAGAGAAAAGCAAAAGAAATAGAAAAATAAAAAATGAAAAGTAAGCAGATGGAGTGACGTTGCAGTCTTGCAGAGTTGCAGACACGGGGACGAGACAAGGAAAGAGAAAAGCAAAAGAAATAGAAACATAAAAAATGAAAAGAAAAGAAAAAGATAAAATATAAAATAATAGAAAATTGAAGAAAAAAGCCAAATGGGCGTTACAACCGGAGAACCGGATGTTTACTGGCTAAATAGCCAATTTGATTATTTTCTAATACTTTGTGGACTTAATTGATTCATTAAATAGTACATGAACTGAATTGACTTTTTTCTAAAAGTAAATGGACTTATATGACCGTTTTCCCTTCCTTATTTGGTAAAGTTTGTGTGGTTCTAAATCATTCCTACTTTATTCTTACTTTATCAATTCAATATCAACCACATAACCACACTTTTATTAATAACCGTGTCACTTTCTCTTGTCCCAAACTTAGGGGGACGGAGGTAGTATGTTTTAAATATATGCGAAGTATACGCTTTTTAGAATGTATAAGGACATTTTTAGAAACTAAAAAACACAAATCCAAAAAGGGATTTGGTTGTCCCTTTTTTGGGACAATCAAAAAGGAAAAATTGATAAAATCCAATGGGACGGAGGGAGTAACAATTAATCATTATATGAGTTATTTCTATTTTCAAAATATTATAAAATTGTTAGTAATTAAAATAAAAGAAAGAAATAAAAAGGGAATATCTAAGTGCCCAAGTGGGCACCTAGACGCGCGGCTAGGTGTTAGACGGCCAGTCACCGTTCTACTAGCGTCTAACGCGTTTTAGAGCACTGATATTTACTCATACATAAAATATTAAAATGCAAAAATATTTTATTTTTTCAATCAATTCTTTATTAGATGATTACTTTTGAAGTGCAAAGATATAAAGATATTTATCCCTCAAAAAAAGATATAAAGATACTATAAATTTATACGGAATGGTTTTTTTTGGGACAATTCTTTCTAACCTATATAATATCTGCTCAATATTAATGTCAACATCCTTGAACTGGTATGAGATTCAAACCTGTGACCTCCTCTTTGGGAGTGCCACAATGATGCCATCAGACCAAAGGTACTTGGCAATTTATACGGAATGTTATTTTTTTGCTCAAAGAATCCTTAATTCATTAAAGTAGCATTTAGCAGGAGGATAAAACTAGAAAAGAACCACAAATAACCATCCGCCTGTGGCCGAGACTGAGAGCTAACCACCTGTGCAAAAGCAGTATAACTCGCTAGACCAAATTTGGGCAACAAAGAGCTAATGACGGTTACCACAGCCTCTCCCTCCCCCAAACTAAATGCGAGAGTCTTACAAGGAAAAAACGCACAACAGAAAAACAAAACAGAACACTGCAGAGTATTAAATTCGAAACAGAAGAAGATAAAGAAACCAAAACAAGTTTTCTTCCCCACAAACTGCCAACACAACCTCGGCGGGTCTAGGGAGCCAGACCCGCCCCTCCTCCGTTTTCTGTCCCCTCCATACCCATGTCTTCATCGACGGCTTTGTTATACGGAATGTTATTTAAAAGGGAAAACTGTCAAATTAGTCCATCTACTTTTGATAAAAAGTCAATTAAGTCTATGTACTTTTTATCGAGTCAATCAAGTCCGTGAAGTAGTAAAAAACGACCAAATAAGCCATTTAACAGGTAAACAACCAGTTACCCCGTTATACACTTACGTGGATGTTCCACATGGCAATTTTTTACTGTTTTCGTATTTTTTATAATTTTCTTTTGTTTTCTTTTTCTTTTTTTCCTCTCTCTTCTTTTTTCTCTTTCTTTCTCTTTTTTCTTTCTTTTCTGGTCCGCTCATCTCCTATCCAGACTCCTTCCCCAAGCTTGTGAGGTCTGTTTTTTCAATTTCAACCACCTCCCACCATTCTTCCGATTCCACCATTTTTACCACCTCCGTCACCTCTAACTACTCCGCCACCTCCAACACCACCGTTGCTGTCGGCTGGCCTTCATAGCCACATCCTCTGGCCTCCACTTCATCTCCGCTGCCCCTTAGCCCCTACCTCCAAACACACAGCCTCCGGTCTACACCTCCGCCTCCTCCGACCAAAACCTCCGCCGCCCCTACCTGCATTTAAACCGCCTCAGACCAGTCCGACAACCACTATCGCGGTCTCCACCTCCAACCGCCATATTCACTACCTCCATATTCACTATCGCCGTCCCTACCTCCATATTCACTACCTGCGCAGCCCCTCTAACTCTGCCACATTCAGTCAAACATCCTCCGCCGCACGAACATCCACAGACTGGAGTTACAGTACACGCACAAGGAACCAAGGAAAGAGAAAAAAAAGAAATAGAAAATAAATAAGAAAAGAAAAAGAAAAGTTAAAAAAAAACTGTAAACATAAGCCATCTGGACAGTATAACCGGAAAACCGAATGTTAACCGGTTAAAGAGTCAATTTGATGATTTTTTGATAGTACGAGGACTTGATTGATTCATTTTATAGTATATGGACTTAATTGACTTTTTAGTAAGAGTAGATGAACTTATTTGACAGTTTTCCCTATTTAAAACAATTATATTTTTTATGTTATCTGGAAATATTAGTAACAACTTAAAAGCAAAATGAAAAATTGTATTTTAATAACTATACTCAGATGAATGCATTTAATTATTATCATATCTAAATTTATCTTAGCTCTTTTTATGTAAGCTCTAATAGAGATTACAATTTTAAGGGATTCATCCTTGTTTGAGAAAAAAAATTATTACTACGTAATTCAGAATGACACCGACGTGTAATTTGATCATATCTGAGTTCAAAATTATCCATTTTAACCCTTTTTATGTCATTTGAAAGCTAAGTTCAGTTTCTACACACATTAGAGGCTACAATTTCAACATTCACCCACCATATTATATCAAACCGAAGCAAGTTAGACGGGTTCATACAAACAAATCAGTTAAAACTCGACTAGACTAATTCCGATAGATTAGACCAGTAATTTCAATCTTAGAGAATAAATCTTGATTAGGAACTTAAGAGTATTAATCTTCACGCTTAGTCCCTCTAGACTTCTAGAGAGGGCTGTTGTGCCATGATCATTTGTCATTGAGCAAATGACATGATACAAAATGATAAAAGATCTTTTGATTAAGATTCACAAGTAGAATAATCATGTACATGGGTAAAATCGTATGCTCTGTAGATATATTGGAATAAACTCACACATAAGTAGGGCTATGCCATGAAAACCATAACATAGAATTAGCATAACTAAAACAATGAGATCATTGGTTAGCCTTTAGCTGGACTCCCTGCTCAAAGACAGGTCATCAATGCCTGAAATGAGATCATCAAGTGATGGAGCATCCGATTCTATCCACACTACAGAACGTTTAGAGACGGAAGCTTCAGGCTCTAAGGCGCTCTCAGCTACGGCTTTTTTCACTTGTCCAATGAGTTCATCTTCCTCGTCTGGGATGTCTAGTTCCCACACCTTAAAGATGTTATCAGCTGGCTGGTCCTCCACAAATGCTGGAAATATCGAGTCTAGCTCAGGATCAACAGTTGCGAATATCATCTGGTTTTCATTGTACGTAGGAAGGAAAACATTATCCAAGTTAAATCTTGTGTTCAAAGTATCAGTTGTTTCACTGATCTGATCATAATCTATCATGTTTCCCCCCTCTTGTTCATTTCTTAGAGAATCAACAGATGTTATTTCATCTGACACTTGTGAGTTTCTACCTTTTTTATTGAGAAAAAACTTTCTTTCACCTGCTTCACGAAATTCAACATTTTCTTCAACGGAAGATTTCAGTTTGGAACCATGAATCCCTAATAAGGCAAAGGCATTTCCGAATGAATTCAAGCCACCCTGTGATAGTTCAGCATCTGGACAAAGGCAGGAATCGGCCCATGCTAGATCTTCTGCAGAGCTTTTGCCACCATATCCACTATAAATAAGACCCAGTGGTGGGACACTAGCTGGCTTTGTGTTATCTCTGAAATCCATGACTAGGGTGATGCAAAGATGGAATATTTTCCTGAGAAGTGCATTAACCATATCAGGATTTCAAGATCCAATCAAAACTGTTAAGGTGATCGGTAAGAGCAGTGTTTGCAGTCTGATAGCACTAGAAAACCATCAGTAAACATTATTTACTCTTCCAACAACACTATAGGACTATCGTTACCTTCAACAAAAACCAAACCAAACTAAACCAAACAAATACAGTATATCCAGCTCTTAAATACAATCTGGGAAGGGTGGAATGCATGCAGACCTCCCCTCTACCCCTTTCTGTTGCAATGAGGCTTAGGAAAAGTAGTGAAAGGTAGTGTAGGCAATGTAAAGAGTAAGCAAGAAAAGTATACAACGTATGCGATTAGACAAGAAGCAAGCAAACAGTCGCACAATTAAGCTTTAAACAAGCCTAAACATGCACACATAAAAAACACTATGGAACTGCTATCCTAGCTAAAGTACGGGAGAATGAGACATTAAGAGTTGAGGCTCATATTGGCCTCAAGACTCTCTTTTTGACCCACATTTTATTGATCTGCAAAACAAGTACATATGGAGGAGCAGAGGGTTTGAGGGACACATATGAAAAGTGTTAATCTTTTATATTTAATTATTTATTTACTTCTTCAAAATTTGTTCCGCCATCGGCTAAAGAATGTAATTCAAATTTGAAATTGCTGAGTACACTATCCCTTTTACAGCTAATTCACATCCGTTTAACTTGGAGAAAAATAAACACTTTTACTAAAAGAAACCAATTAAATCCAAATTCTGCACGCATGAAACTGAGTTTATCCTCCTGAAAAAACCACCGCCTTTTGCCAGGAAAAATCCCCACTTAGTTCTTCTTTTTCTTCTAGAAAGATATTATTCTTCCAGAAGTTCGAAACACAGGTGCACAAGACATTTTTTACGCACACATTTTATTAATCAGCAAAAGGCAAAAACAAGTCCATATGGAGGGGCAGAGGGTTGGGGGGACACATATGAAAAGTGTTAATCTTTTATAATATAATTATTTTCTTCAAAATTTGTTTCGCCACCGGCTAATGAATATAATTCAAATTTGAAATTTTTGAGTACACTATCCCTTTTACATCTTATTCACAGCCATTTCTGTAACTTGGAGAAAAATAGAACACTTCTACAAAAAGAAACCAATTAAATCCAAATTCTACCAGCGTGGAACTGAGCTATTCTCATGAAAACCACACACCACCTTCTGCCAGGCAAAATCCCTGCCTAGTTCTTTTTCTTCCAGGAAGATATAATTCCTCCAGAAGTACCAACCGCAGGTGCACAAGACATGCATTCCCTTCACCTAGACAAAGACATTGCTCAATGTGTAGGATCACAAAATTTAGAAAGCTTCTCCAATTCATGACTATACCTTTAGTGTAAATGATCTGATGTACCTTATGATGCAGCCTTAATACACCTTTAAAACAATAAAACTGAAAGCAAACCAACTATTCATCCACTGCAAGGTTCGAAATTGTGTATTGCGTAGTTGTGAGGTTTTACTAAATTGCATATTGAGTAAGCCTCATAGCGCAATGAGGCATATGCCCGAGGCGCAAATGACTTATTCACCACAAGTCATCAAATGTTATATTAGAACAAATTATAATGAGAGCATAATCCTAGCAAAGTAATTTGTTCAAATACAAAATTTTAATAACACCACGAATTCTAGGAGCACAGATTTCGACTATAAATCGAACATATAGTTGATCTCATCGATACATAAATATATATGATACTAAAACAGCCTCGACGAGCAAACATGTTCCCTAAACACATTTTGGGGACGGCATTATTCCCCTAAATTCATCGTATGCCGAACGAGGGGTTAGTTATAGTTTGAACAGAGATTTCTAAGTTTTACCTTACACGATGATGCCGAAAAGCTAGAGTTACGAACGCTAGAAATAGAAACTGATGCCCAGAGACTCGAGTTTGAGAATGCTCAGTATGAAACAGCACCCTTTTTTAAATTGGGAATAGCGACTCTGTTAAGAAAGGTATTTCAGATCGAAAGAATTTACTATGAATCACGTAGGAGTTAACAGTTAACACGTCTTTGAATTGAATCGAAAAGAATTTATGGCTAGAATTTTAAAAATATGATTGTATAATTTGTAAAATGTGATTAAAATTTATGCTGTCATGTTAGATATTATTACATTTTATTCTAGAATTTCTAATTTTTTTTACTCATATTTCGATTTTTTTTCAAAACAGAGTAATTATTGTTGGAAAAATGTGTGAAAAATTGCATTAAATGGTTATTTTGGGGCAATTTTTTGAGTGGGGTCCACTTCCGATTTGGGTCGGGTCAAAGTGGTTTCGGATTGTCCTTGTTAAGGGCTACAATTCGATATATGGTACGCTCAAAACGGATAACGGGTGAATGAGAAATCGCTTTTCGAAGTTTACCCGTTAGAATGGAAAAACTGGGAAAAAGGATGGGTTTCTAGTGTGTTAATTTCCCACACCGGAAAACCCAAGGGATTTGCAACCCTTTATAAAGGGACTCTCCCCTTAAGGAGTTAAGATTCCTAAGGGTAAAGGCTCTCTCCACGCGCGCAGGGGGGTGCAAATCAAATCCCGAACTACGTAGGGGTCTTCTGATGGCTTCTGAACCGTTACAGCAATTAATGCCCAACGTTTATATCTTTTAATGCAGGGTTAAATGGACAATTCAATGCCTAACGGACTGGTCATTGATGTCCAACGTTCAGATCCATTAATTCACTATTTTCATACAACAAATCCTCCTATATAAGGGCTGGCAGGTGGTTTGCAACAATATACGTTCTTGCACGTTCTTACACAAATCCATACACGTTTTAGCTCTAAAAACACACTGCTAGCATTCCGAAAATTTTCCCTGTGTTCCTACTGTGTTCTCGTTCGCTGGAACTTTTGTTTGTGTGCTCAAACATTAGTTCGTAGTCATCGTATCCTGGGAAACGATTGTTGCAACGCTCCTAGCACCGTGGGAGGCAACAAATACGTTTTAAGGACATCGTGCGTAGCACGAGCTTTGACTAATTCTGCTTCATCTCCTTTCTTATTTTTCTCTAGTCATTTTATTTAATTAATTTATTTTAATTAATTTTCTTTATTTTCCGAAACACACCCAACAATTATATTTTTATTCCTTACATTCGAGTAATGGTGGACGTGTTTACAAAATATGGGAAAATATTGCCACTAGTATTTTATCATATTTAATGGCGTGGAATTTTAAGTTGTAATTGGCTGAATAAAGTATCAAAGGAAAGTAGGGAAAAGGTGCAAATAAGTCCATGTACTAACAAAAAAAGTCAAAAAAGCCCTTATTTAGGAGGTTCTGTCCGGCTGTCGCCATTTGAGTGGTTCCCGTTGGAATTTTTTGATGAATTTTTTTGAGCATATTATTCATTAAGTCTAGTTTACTCATACCAAATTTCAGCTAAAACTTCAATCGGGAAGACATTCAAATGAATTCTTGAAAATAACAGCGCAGTTATCTTCAAGAATTCATTTGAATGCTTTCCCGATTGAAGTTTTAGCTGAAATTTGGTATGAGTAAACTAGACTTGATGGATAAGATGCTAAAAAAATTTCATCAAAAAATTCCATCGGGAACCACCCCAAATGATGATGGCCGGACAGAGTCTCCTAAATAAGGGCTTATTTGACCTTTTTTGGTTAGTACATGAGCCTATTTGCACCTTTTCCCAAGGAAAGTATTAACTAACTTGTGATAGAATAGAGTAGTTTTTGCCACTTTTAGTTCTCTAGCTATTATGATACTCATATTTTTGATACTCGATCTTGATTTTTTTCACTTTTAGACCTTCGACTATTGTGGACGCTTTCACTACCTGTCTTTGAAAATTTCCACAATAGTGACATTTTTACTCTTTCCCTTATTGCGTCAAAATCATAGTGTAAAGATTAAAAGTGTCAATTCGATAATACTCAGATGACTAAATGTGAGAAAGTTTGAAGTTGAGGACTCAAAGTGGTTCTCACACAATAGTCGAAGACTAATAATGAAAAAATTAAAAGTCGAGTACCAACAGTATCAATGACACAATATTCGAGGGATCGAAAGTGGCAAAAACATAGAATATAGAACATAAAACATAGAATAGAGTAAAGAAAAACGAGTACATGAACGTTCAGAAAATATTTCGAGCCTGCTTGATGACCTATGTTTTTCGGTTTTTCATTCTCATCAATCAACTCTTTCACCAAATATAGAAGTTTTGATTTTGCGAGTCGAGTTTTTGTAATAATCAAAATAAGTAAGGTTGGAGTTTTTTTCCTGGTTGAATTGGCTGAAGTTACTCTAGAGAATGATTTCAGTTATTTTCATACAATTTCTTCTTTATTTTATCAATAGAATATATTTTTAATTTTTTTAATAGTTCAGTAGATTTAACCACTTTCGCCAAAATGCATGTAATCATTTTTAGTAGAGCCAGCCGATTCAGACAATATTAGTGTTACCATACGGGCTATTCAATTTGTTTGCCTAAAGGCGTTATGACAGGGAGAATTTGGGGGAAACAGTATAATGATTTGCTAACTTATAATTGAGATTAGTTTTTTTTTCTTAAAAAAATGATCAACTTTTATATTAAATCGAGAAAAGATACAAGATAACATCCAAACAATTATGATAGATCCGATTGTGAACCCTGGGAGTAGACTTAGAATCAGTCACCTCATACAAAACAACCTGATTTGCTAGACACAAAACGACAATTTAAAGCCTAAAACAATTGGAACTGAAATACTACCTATCAAACATCCACCAGAAGTCCAATTTTCCAAACCAAACCTACTAAAACTAAATATAAACAAGCACTACTAATTGAAAAATAAAATTGAAATAAAGTCTTTCCACAAATTTTTTCATGGCACGGAGGTGGTTTTAGAGGAGGACGAGCTTTATCAATGTTTACGCACACAACAAGAAAGCAAACAGAAACCCCTGACCAGACGAAACTAGTCGGGACACCAACATTGAGACAGAAAAATCATCCCGGAGCACCAGTGCCCGAGAAAGAACCATCATAGAACAAAATCAACACAACTAGAAGAGAAGAGCAATCCAATTGTATCATGCCTCTATCAAGAATCTTTGAGCGTTGATGTCTCCATCAAATAGTTTGGATCACTGCATCACTAATCGATCGGATGTGGAAAGCAGCCTATTTAATGCCGCACTACCGTAGAGATATCGAGGCGATAACGTTTCTTCTTGCGTGTTTCTCTCTATCGACTAACCCTAGGCGGACGGCGGGAATCTACTTATAATTGAAACTAGTTGAAAATTGAAAATAATTAAAAATGACGAGATTTAATTTGATAAAAGTAATTATTCTGTAGTATAATAAATGATACTCCCTCCATCCTATTCGATTTTATCACTTTTTTTTTTATTCTGTCAATACTTTGTCGTTTTTCTCTTTACTCCTACACTACACAAATCTTAGACATAAATTCTTTACTTTTCTTACTTCACCATCAATGGGACAGAGGCTGTGTGTCTATATATATATATATATATATATATATATATATATATATATATAGAAAAGATCCTGTCCAGACGTCCGGACAGGAGCCGCCGTCCGGCCGGCGGCGTTTGGCCGCCTTCCCGGTGGAATTTTTTGATGAAATTTTTATGGAATGTTCTCCATCAAGTCTAGTTTATCCACAAAAAAATTCAGCCAAAAACTCAATCGGGAAGGTCGTCAAATGATTTTTGCAAGTTAACTGGTCCGGAAAATACATATTCCGGACCAGTTAACTTGCAAAAATCATTTGACGACCTTCCCGATTGAGTTTTTGGCTGAATTTTTTTGTGGAGAAACTAGACTTGATGGAGAACATGCCATAAAAATTTCATCAAAAAATTCCACCGGGAAGGCGGCCAAACGCCGCCGGCCGGACGGCGGCTCCTGTCCGGACGTCTGGACAGGAGCATTCCTCTATATATATATATATATATATATATATATATATATATATATATATATATTACCTCCGTCCCAAAAAATTTTGCCATTTTCAAAACTTTGACCGGTTATATCTTTTTATTGAAAATTATTTATAATATAAAAATTATATGAAAATGTTCTTTGTTAAAAGTACTTTCATAAAAGTATAAAATTTATAGCTTCCATAATATTATACCAATCAAAATCAAGGTTCAAATTTTTGGAATTGGCAAAGTTTTTTGGGACAGAGGTAGTATGTATATATATATATATATATATATATATATATATATATATATATATAGGGAATGGTTCAAATACAAAGAGCTCTTCCCATGCAAGGTGAGAATGAATCTTGTGCATTCATTTCCACATCTAATGGTTAAAAATGAGCCAAAATGCACAAAATTCGGCCAAAAACGCGGTGACATTTTCGTAAACATGTTGCATTTTTTCGTCACCGCGAAAAAGTGCAACAGAAACAAGAAAAAGTGCAAGAGAACCATGAAAAAGTGCACATCTTCGCACTTTGCACAGGAAGAGGTCTTTTTATTTGAACTTTTCCCTATATATATATATATAGAACTTGTGGGAATTTTTGTAAATTATATTTAACATTGGTAGTATTTTAATGGCTAAAGGGTCAAATAGGTCATTGAACTGACTTAAAGTGTTCAATTAGCCCCTTATATAGGAGGTTCTGCCCGGCCGTCGCCAATTGGGGCAGTTCCCGGTGGAATTTTTTGATGAAATATTTTGAGCATCTTCTTCATTAAGTCTAGTTTATTCATACCAAATTTCAGCTAAAAATTCAACCGGGAAGACAGTCAAATAATTTTTTGAAGATAATTGCGAACTTAAACAGCGCAATACATTTCTAGAAAATCATTTGTACTTCATTTTCGTACTTTTTTGAAAAGGCATTTTTATTTATCTTCATTAATTTATGTCGACTTCTAGAACTTTTTTTGCCCCTCGATTGGGAGTTGGGACAATCAAAACTATTGGAGTGATTTTATTTTTAAATTTGAGACTTGCACCTTTTTTGTGAAAAGTGGATTCACAGTGTTGACAGTTGAAGAAGACCTAACAATATCGTTTGACATCATTTAGAAGCCATTCTGTTGTATTAAAATGGTGTAAGGTGCTCGAAATGCCAGTAGATTTTTTCTTGAATGAGAACTTCCTTGACACCCTTTATGAGTTATCCTGTTTTTGGACAGAGGAGAAGAGCTTACACAAGTTAATGAAGGAATGCCATGAAATACATAAAAGTATCTCTGTTTGGTATATTCTTTCTTGGTACATATGCACTACTATTCCAAGGAATGCGATGAAATACATAAAATTATCTCTGTTTGGTTATGTTCTTTCTTGGTACATATGCACTACTATTCCACATTTTTTGAAAAAATGAACAGAAAGGGACATTTTACAAAACAGCAATATTATAATCCGTACATTCGTGCACACACAAAAAATAGCACAACTTTGACTTCTCAAACCTTTGACTCGGGTAGATAAAATTATGCAATTTCAAAACTCTGTTCCAGATTTCTGCTGCTGCTGCTGCCCACTTACCATGCTCAACTGCCTTCGAAGCCTTGCAATATGGCCTTGTACCTATGGTATTCAAAATTTCATCAAATTTGTTGAATGTAGGTCAAAGCATCAAGTTCATTGCAGCCACAATTCAAGGGCGAGGACTTGTGAACGTTTACTGCCATCTAACAAATACGCCCTTGAAGTTCATCTGTGAGGGCATATGTACCCTTCAACTTCATTTAGGAACTATTACATAAAATTTTGAAGTTTAAAACAAATATGCCCTTAAAGTATTATAAAACATATATACCTCTTAACTATATACTATCTATTAGAGAACATATGTACCTCTTAACCATTTTGGATATATGGGTATATTTGTTCTAACAACAAAACTGTTGTGTTTAGTTGCTAACAATGAAAGTTAAAGGGTATAAAGTATCATGCTACAAAGACTTTCGTGTGCAGAAAAAGAATCATTGTTAAACAAATAAGACTAAGCTTTCATGTAATTTTTTAGAAACAGATCCACACAAATGAAACATTATATCTACTTAAGCTAAGAAATAAGGTCAATATTGATCACTCTAGTTAAAAAAAAGTTAGATGTGATAAATTTAGATAAACCAACATATACATGGATTCCTGGAGTAAATATAAACATGTTTGATCAGGACCTTTTTTTTAGGATGGAGGTAGCATTAATATAGGTGAATTGTTGGGCAAAATTGGCGCTGAATAAAAAAGGAAAAAAATTAATGTTATAATGAACGTATAATAAGATTATATTACCAAACAAATGAAAAGTTCAGGTCTTTTCTATGAAATACCATAACAGATAACATCTAAAATTTTAGTCATATTACTGTTACCAATTAGAGCATACATATTTATTTAAAGCTTAAAATAAACTATGACCTCTCGAGCCTTTAGGGGACTGTAGCATTACACGACATATAATATTATCGTTCATGATTTAGATGCTCCATATTACTCCCTCCATCCCATATTTTTCTTCTCACTTTCTTTTTTGATAGTCCCCAAAGTGTTCATATTTCCATTTTGTTCCTATTTCCATTAATGGGAAGATTTGTGTTGTTGGCATCATTTCTCTCTTTTCTACATCAACCAAAACCATTCAATTTCACTTTCTTAATAAGCATGCTAAGTCAAAATGCAAACACTTTTGGGGGACGAAAAGAGTATTTATTTCTATCTTCCAATTTAATCTCAAAAATACATATTTGGCCATTACAGGCGCAATAATTCTATCACGACATTTCAGTAAATCGAGCACATTAAACTTGTTATTACAACTAGAAAAACTGTCTTACTGAAAAGGTCGATAGTTAATGTTTTGCTTAAATGAAGATAAGAATGATTAAATATAGTGCATGACTTTCAACTTCATAATATTCTTTGTTCAGAAAGTTCAGTTGATAACTTGATATCAGAAATTCAGAAAACCTTCAATTCAAGATGAAGTTCTCAAATTATTAAAGGCTCCTTAGTCTTTTATTTAACTATAAAAGAAAGGAATTATACGTATACTAATATCAAAATTTAAAGAATCCAATCCTTCTCCAAGTTACTAACCTGCTGGCGAGCTGCTGTTAATTTTAAGAGCTCATCTGCCTCGGAAAAATTAGTGAACCATTGGCTTAGGGGATTATCTTTGGTGTCACCTCTCTTTCTTCTATCAACATCATCTAATGGTGCTAGAGTCAAACACAATGACACCAGTAACTCAATATGCAGTCTGATACTATACAGCAATCAAGCAGCATTTATAAGTTATAACCCAAATAGAAAGTTGAAAACACACCTGTGGTAGGTAAAGCCATGTCCGCAGGTAGTCTGGGCACACTTACTGCTGGATGATTCTGTACACGAGAAAGGAGAGCCTCAGAAGGTTTGGTTAGAACAATTTCATCATATGATTCAACAACTATAGGCTTCTTTGTGGAAAGAGGGCCAGATTCCTCCTCCGGATATAGCTTTAGGTGGTGGAATCTGTAACATGAAGTTCAAAAATCAAAATATCGCATAGCAATTTCAAGTTTGAAACAGGTTAATAAGTATTGCATACAACATTTGAGCCTAGTCATTTGAAAGATCAACATTACAGTGCCTATTAATTCAAGTATTCTAGTAGCTCAAGCTATTCTTATATTTGCAAGTTTTTAGTCTACAAAATTCAGCTTGAATAGAAAAAAAGAACCTCACAAGTGCAACGGCTTGTCACAAACATCATTGTGGAAATAAAGAGTAATAGCAATCTCAAATTCACCCCATCCACACTCTGACAACTCAAAAGGAGGAGCATCCAGAACCCTTGTTGGGTTATTAAAACTCGAGTGCAACTGGAAAACTGCTCGTTTTATTACTACGCCAAGATCTTCGTTTGTTGCCCCGCGAACATAAATAGTCCATCTATGAGACTGATACCTATACTCGTTTAACAATATAGCTGTAGTGAGGCATTTCATCAAACAGTCATACAAAAATGGATTAAAAAAAACTCTCATGATCAGCAATACTCACTCGCTTGCCTTCTTACCAAGCCAAAACGCAATATTTCCATAGACAATAGGGACAGTAATCTCAAGCTCCTTAAGCTTCTGCGCCGAGTTCTGAAAAAAACCCACCACATTATGCGATAATTTTCAATAAAGCATTCATAATATGAGTTAAATACGGCAAGTGCATAAAACGATTAGCTAAGTTAATGAAGTTAAACAGGGAGGGAAAAAAGATTCACTTTTGCTTCGATATCATCGGAAGATTTTGTGCTTTTTGTGCGTTGAGACATCGTAGCTGGTGCAGTTGCTTGAGGCTGATCTGCTCCGAGCTTCTTCGCCGATGGACCCTGAGCCAGACAGCCTCTGGAATCTGGATTGTCCTATGTTGAAATTGATCGATCACAAATCCGCAATCAGGGTTTCCTAATTTTGCTTCACTCACGTTAATTAGTTCTCTTTTTTTTTTTTTTTTTTGAAACCGAGACTAACCACTTTATTAAATCAAAAGATCGTTCGCCAAATGACTTACAATACAATCTGGCCTGATATCATAACTACAACTATGATCTGAGATAGAAACATGTGCTCTAGCAAGCTTATGAGCAACACGATTCGCAGATCGTGGACAATAAGAGACATGAAAGTTGCTCTTAGTACTCAAAATATTCCGTATATCATCAATAATAAGATCCATGTATGCTGAACCCCCCCTCCCTTAATGCCGCGTATGACTGTCTGGGCATCAGACTCCAACTCGATGTACTCCCAGCCTTCCTGAAGTGCTGCCTGACAAGCCTCCCTTATCCCCATAGCTTGAGCCTCCGCTGGGCTCCAGTCAGTCGTTTTTTATCCACCCCCGCCTTTAATAAAAGTGCCTTGTTCATCCCTTACCACCCATCCCCAAGCTCTTCTCCCCCTACTCACATCTGTTGCGGCGTCGACATTTATTTTTAAAAAGCCCGGCATCGGTTTGCTCCACCCCGGATTCCCCTTCCCACTCCTGTTGCCTGCCACTTTCACCTCTCCTTGAGCCTCTCGCCAAGCTTGTAGCATACTTGCACACCCGTTCAGTAGATTGGACGAATCTTGCATCTCATTCTCCCAAACCAGAGTGTTTCGTCTCTTCCACAAACCCCATGTGATCATCGCCACTTTGGAGCTCAAACTTTTATCTGCACATGAAAGATATTGTTGAAGCCATACCTTAAATGTCACCTCCCCGTCGCCGAGTGTCATCCCCGCCGCCTCCCATACCTCCACTGCCTTCGGACATGTCATCAGTGCATGCTCCGTAGACTCATCGGCTTGGCCGCATATCTTACACTGCCTCGGGATAGGTACCCCCCTCCTCTCCAAGTTGTCCGCTGATGGTAAGGATCCATCTAGTACCTGCCATATAAAATATTTTACCTTTGGCGGGATTTTTAAGTCCCACAGAAATTTCCACCCATCCCAGCCACCTGGATCCTCGCTCTGCATAAATGTTTTGTAGCAACTCTTCACTGTAAAGAGGCCACTGTTCTCTTTACACCACCAGAAACCATCCTCTTTGTCCGTAAGGCTAATCGGGATACTGCAAATAGCTCTCTGGTCTTCTTCAGTAAATATGTTTGCTATCCTTTCTTTGTTCCAGCTCTTCCCTGAATTATCCCTCAGTGCCGCTACGTTCATATCATCTATCCCCACAGGTTTTGGAGATTTAATCTTTCCATCCCCCTGCCCTGGTAACCAAGCATCGCCCCACACCTGGACATCTCTCCCATTGCCTGCCCGTCTTCTGACATTTTCTCTAAGGATGCTTTGAGATTCAAAGATACTCCTCCAAACATAAGAAGGATTGTTCCCAAGATTTGCATGCAGGAAATTGGTTTTAGGGTAATATCTAGCTTTAAGCACCCGACTCATCAAGCTATCTGGGTTGGTAATCAGTCTCCAGCCTTGTTTGGCGAGCATAGCTAAATTAAATTCCCTGATCTTTCTGAAACCCAAACCTCCCATGCTTTTTGGTTTACAGAGAAGTTCCCATCTCCGCCACCTGATCCCTCTCTGCTCGAATTTCGTACCCTTCCACCAAAAACCATTCATCAGTTTTTCAATCTCATCACATAAATCAAGGGGAAACAAAAACACATTCATAGCATATGCGGGCATTGCCTGGACCACATTCCTTAAAAGCACAGCCCTCCCTGCTCTGGAGAGGAATCGGTTGTTCCAGCTCTTAATCCGGTGAAAAATCCGGTCTCGAATGAAGCCCAAAATAGTCGTTTTATTCCGCCCCACCAGACTTGGTAACCCCAGATACTTTTGCTGACTACCTTCCTGTGGAACGCCAAAAAAATTGCAGCAATAATTTTTAAAAGTCTCGGTCACATTTCGGCTGAACGTGACCGAGGACTTTCGAAAATTGATCTCCTGCCCTGATGCCTCCTCATACTCTGCCAAAATATGCTTAACCACCTCACATTCTGGGCCGGATGCCTTGAAAAACAAGAAACTGTCATCTGCAAAAAATAGATGAGAAACCCTGGGTGCCCCCCTGCAAACCGCCACCCCATGTAGGTCCCCCCTGCGTTCAGCCCTACTAAAAAGAGCACTCAACCCCTCCGCCACTAGAATAAACAAATAAGGAGACAAAGGATCCCCTTGACGTAGCCCTCGACCTGGCACAATAGGCCCCAATAAATCCCCATCAAACTGGACATAATACTTAACAGTCTTAACACATTCCATAACCATCTGAATCCAACGAACATTAAAACCCATCTTGGTTAAAATATTCTCAAGAAAGGTCCAGCTCACCCTGTCATACGCTTTACTCATGTCAAGTTTGAGCGCCACAAAGCCCTCTTTTCCACTCGTCTTCCTTCTCAGAAAATGATTTGTCTCGAAAGCCACAATTATATTATCGATAATAGACCTTCCTGGTACAAAAGCACTCTGACATTCCCCGACTAAAATATCCAATATGCCTTTGAGTCTATTTGCCAGAATTTTAGAAAAATTTTTATAGACCACATTGCAAAGTGCAATTGGTCTCCAGTCCCCCATATTTTCTGGTTTGTCCACTTTAGGAATTAACACAATATTAGTAGTATTAACATGATCTGCCAGATTACCTGTCTCAAACATCGACGCACATAAGGCAGATATATCCGGTCCAAGCACCTCCCAGTAAGCCTGAAAAAAAGCGGGGTTCATTCCATCTGAGCCTGGAGCCTTTTCCGGGTGCATATCAAAAACAGCCCGCCTAACCTCCTCCGGACTGATAGCCCGTAAGAGTAACTCGTTCTGTTCTGCCGACACCTGTCGGAATTCGCCTCGAATAGCAAGTGGTTGTGTCCTCTCTTGTTCTTTGAACAACACCGAAAAGTAATCCAAGACTGCCTCACCAAGTTCTTCCCGATTAGACAGCCATGAACCATCGGGCCGCCCCAAACCAGTCATCTTATTTCGTCGCCTCCTTTGTTTAACAGCATTATGAAAAAATCGGGAATTAATGTCCCCCTCCTTTAGCCAGAATTCCTTAGCCCTCTGCTTCCAGAATTGATTTTCTTTTTCAAGTAAGACCTGTAATACCGAACGGACACGTATAAGCTCACGGACACTAGTTCGGTCATCCTTCCCCCTAAGCCAGGCCAATCTGGATTTGCACGCCATTATTTGATGTCGAAAGCCTCTTTTCCTCCCCCTGTCCCATCTAGTCAGTTCCGTAGCACAAAAACCAATCCTCTCATTAATTGGTCGTTGCCTAGTTGCTTCCCAACTGCTAGTAACAACAATTCTGCAAGCATCTTCTTTAATCCAGTTGTTCTCAAACTTAAAGAAACGTCTCCTTCCATTTGGGACCCTATGTTTGACCTGCACCTGAAGTGCCATATGATCACTTGCCGGGGCCTCTACTGACACAGCTTGAGCTCCTGTAAATGAATCCCACCAGGCATCATTTACTAGAATACGGTCTAGTTTCTGCTCCAGACGGTAATTATTATCTTTTCCATTATCCCAAGTCCATTGATATCCTGAAAAAGGGAAATCCCGCAGCCCACAACTATTGACTGCCCCTCGGAATCCCCTTAACCTCCATAGAGGTTGAGGAATATTACCTTTCTTTTCCGAATCGAACATGATGTCGTTAAAATCTCCAATCATCATCCAGGGACCGTCATTGCCTTCAGCCAGCCCCTCCATCATCCTCCAAGCCTCTCGACGCCGGACTGTCTCAGGAAAGCCATAGAAGCCAGTTAGTCTCCAAGAATCAGCGCTGCTCCGCAAAACAACTCTTCCGTCAATAAAATTGGGATTGTTATCCTTGACCTCCATCTCAACTTCATCATTCCATGCCATGATTAATCCTCCACTCCGGCCAGCACTATCCGTCCCCTCCGAATTGGTGAAGCCCTTTGAGCGTAGTATCTCCTTTGCACGCAAGCACCGGACCTTCGTCTCCATGAGAAAGACTATCAGCGGCCGATATAGACTGACGAGGTCAGACAGGCATTGGATCGTTGCCGAGTTGTTTAGACCCCTACAGTTCCAGCTGAGTATACTCATCTCCCTGGACCCTCCCGCTAAACCCCAGTCTCGAAGCAGAAGGAAAACTCCAGAGCAAAACTCAAAAAGCAGAGCCCTCAAGATCGAAAAAGCCAAAAATCCATCCACGGAGATCAGACTGTTTGATTCTGCAGATGATGGCCGAAGACGAGCCGCACCACCGCTTGCAATCTCCCTCCAATCTAACTCTCCGACTCCAGACAGATGGGCTGAAAAGCCTCCGCCGCCGGTAAAATCAAGCTAGGGACAACCCTAGAGACGTCCGCCTTTGCCCCGCAGCCGAGTACTGTGCGATTGATAAATCCAACTCTGTCCTAATGGCGTTAATTAGTTCTCTTTTGATCTTCATAATTTTTTTTGTGTGATTTAACATTAAATTATTATTACGTAGTAACTTTTAGGGGTAAAGCACGAGCCATGAAATATTTTTGGAGGAAAGTGTCAATTGAGTACACGAATTTGTATGAGAATTGAGATAGAGCAAAGAGTACATTATATTGCATTTGATTGTAAGTATACAAATTCATATTTTTAGTGTTAATTGAGTACACTTATTAGATTAACACGTTAATACAACTCAGTTGACTATCGGAATGTTGAGTAAGAAAGGGTAATGAACCAAGGTTATGGCGACGACCTTCACGAAGTTGAACAAAAAGGGGAAATCGATCGACGGAAGTCGACCTACGTCGGCCAGTAGGGGTGCATCGACCAAGGAGAAGTCGACCTGCGGGGGACTTACGTCAACCTAGAAGAAGTCGATGAAGTAGTTGGGGGCTGGCCCGTGTTAATCTAACGGGTGTACTCAATTAACACTAAAAACTCGAATTTGTGTACTTAAAAAGATCAAATGCAATATTGTGTACTCTTTACTCCATCTCATACAATTTGATGTGCTCAATTGACCCTTACCTCAATATTTTTGGTTGAATTTTATCATGAAAGTTATATCAATTTTATCATAATTGACTTTGGTCCTTTGAATAGAATTTAAATATGCTATGATTATTGCTCGTAATAATTTCATAAGATAAAAATGGACGGTCTATGCTCTCAAGCAATGTCTAATAACATTTGAACTGTGACTAAATTTTCAAGCCCTCTATAAATCCAGTTGATATCACTTATGGTTTCGTGAGAAACTCATAATAACCACCGTGCAGGAACACGTATGCCGTGTAGAACTGCGTCCGCGGGGAAACTCTCTAGAAAAAAACCGTAGAAACGGTCGCTAGAGTAACTTTTAGGGGTAAGCATGGACAATGTAAGATTTTTGCTCCAATTTTATTATGAAAGTGATATTAATTGTGTCTAACAGAATGGACTCTGGTCCTTTGAATATGATTTAGATGTGCTACAATGATGTTTGGGATGGATAAACTTACAGAAATAGTGTTGGATTAATTATATTGTGTAAACATAATGAGTACGTTCTGGATGCAAGTTCATAATTTATTCTTGAGTTTCATGACACGAAAAGTCGCTAATGTTGTTGATAATTTCATTGGGAACCTCAATCTCGTTGATTATTGCAAACTTGATGGGGGCATGGCAATCGTATGTATGCATTTGAGTTGCCATTTACGTAAACTAGGTATGATAAGGGAGGTAGCTGATTTTGAAGTGATAAGGGAGTAACCATTAATGTAAACTAGGTATGAGCGACTACCTAATTTTTGTTACTTCTGTCAATTTTGGTGAGTGAGGGGTGATTCTAGAAAGTGAAGAATCAGAGGAGAAGCACCTTGATATCTTCTGAGTCCCTAGTTTGGAAAGGTGGAGCACGCTGAGTTGGAGCAAGGAAAAAAAAAATCTTCTTTCGGTGATTGGTCAAATCAAAACTTGTGTTCTTCCCTCTCTGGAAGATGGTCAAGTTGAGTGTTATCTTTCTTTTAATTGAAATTTTGTTTTAATTCTCGATATGGTCCAGATTATTGTTTGGGTATGGGTTTCAGAAATATTTTTAGACGAATTTACATAACTGGAGGATTAACGAAGTGTGGTGTTCTGAGGGGAGTGGAAACTATGACTTCTATGTCTATCACAATGTAGCATTAGACCTTAGACTATGTGATTGTTGTGTTTCCTCTCATTTTCATCATTGATGAACAAGTTCACTTCTTTAAAAATCTGCTAATACTAATTTAAATATCCAAATTGTGAAAATTATTCTCGTAAAATAGAGTTGGAGAAAAAGATGTTCTCCCTATTCTACATTACTTGACACATATTTTTTATGAGTATATTATTTGTCGCACTTTCATACTCCTCATGTCCCTAAATAAAAGACACACTTTCCTTTTTGGGTTGTCCCTATATAAGAGGCTCGTTTCCTTTTTTGGCAAACAAAACAGTGCAAAACAGTGTCCAAACAGTGTCAAACAGTATTCCTCGTAAAGATGTGTGACAGTCAAAGTATGCATATTATATAGTGACGGAGGAAGTATTTGAAAATAAAATCTTGTTACTACATTTTCTCTTTCTCTTTTCTACATCTTTCATTAGTTTTGCTTTCTTTCTCATCTTTTTAATATCTCTGCATTTTTATCATTAGTGCATGCTATTAGGTTCATCTTAGAACGTGAAATACTAAGTAACTATTTCATTTCAATACAGTTTGCTATTACTTAAATTAAGTGCTTCTAAGCTTTTAGATTAAAAAAAGCTAGAAAATGTGTTTGGTAATCCCAACTTCTGATTAAAAAAAGTGCTTTAAAGTTAAAAGCTACTCCGTAGAAGTTGGGTATTGGGTGCTTCTTAGTGCTTCTAGGTTTTTCTGTAAATACTTCCAACTGTGAGGACAGTAATAATGATACACATATTTATCAAAAATCCAAAGTACCCTTCTATCTGTCGTATTCGTATATTCCCTAGAGTCTTCCTATCACTGGTTTCTCATCTCGCACCAACTATTCTTCATATTCTAATCTTTTCTTTTTATCCTTGGACTGAGTTGGACACACTGCTATTATTAGTGTTCGTCCCACGGTGACAGCGAAAAGCTCCGGTGGTAGCAACCAAGAGGTGGGCCTGCTGAACTAAATAAAGAAGGGCCAAGAAAAGGGTTTGCTGAACCAATTGCTCTGTAATTCTCAACCTTTAATTTTAAACAAAGCTGTTGAAACTCGATCGGTGGTCTCAATGGTGGCAACGACGATGAATTTGGGGTTGTGAGGTTCCTTTTACAAAGAAACCAATTGATTCTGTTGGACTCTTATTTTCAATCTTTTGCTCTCTAATTTTCAATCTTTAATTTTCAATTGAATTTGGGCTGTGATGAATTTGTGCTCTGTAATTTTCAACCTTTTGTAAAGATGGGTCGTTGTAGAGATGGTAAGCTGCAATGGCATTTATCAATCACTCCAATTTTAACTCTTCCACTTTAATCTAAAACACTATCAACTTTTAATACGAAACACTTTCATCAAAATCACTTTTTTAGAGCAGGAGCAATCGCAAACACTCCCTAACTAGACAACAAAATGACAATAACGGATTAGTTGCAGTAAAATAGAGATGATCGAAAAATAATATATGCATGAAACATAGTAAAAGAACATAATTTACAAAAATTGGAGTAAAAAATTTGTAGCAATTTAGCCATTTTATACTCTCAGCTCATTGCTTTAATAGGTTATTCCTAAGATATTGCTAATAAAAAGTCATGAATGAAAATGTGACTGAGTAATTTTTAATGACTACAATTATTTTTAAAGTTTACATCATAGTCACTACATCATAGTAACCTTGGACACCATTGTAGTCACTAAAAGTTATAATATCATATTTATGTCCATCATTTTCCAGAAGTAATATTAGTGGATTTTTTTCTTACTTCAAATAGGAGTAAAAATATTTGAGAATTTTAAAATATGAATACTGTGTTTTTATTTATGAAGATGAATAATTACTGTCAAATGCGAAAAATATTGTCAGATTTAAAGTCTAAAAATGGCAAAACAAGACAATAAAATTTCAGGATGACGTAGAGGAAATATATAGCAATTCTAATTTAGAATTTTTGAATGTTTTTACTAGTATTTCGAGAATTTTCCCTGCTTTTCTATCATATAAATATACGATGAAATAGAGTATCTAAATATAATAATAAAAAGCCATATTTCAATTAAAAAAAATACTTCAAATTTGTCAACTCGGTCCATGTTTTAAACCATATTGGTTAAAAATCAGGCCCAAACTATACTCACTGTAATTAACATTTCATAATGCCGATTGCTAAAAATGATATCTCAAACATTAAGTTCTTTAATTTGAACACTTCAAAACAGCAATATTATGTTTTTATTTCACAAATAAGTGTGATATATTGTTATTGTGAAATTTTACCATCACATTTTAACATTATGAGACTTTAATATGACAATATTATTACTAAAAATAATTGTCAACATTTTTCAAGCGGGACAATAATTACTTATATTAAGGTAATCAAAACACAATGCTCCAATTTTAATATTTCACATTACTTTACTCTTATTTAGAACAATTCCTTAAAAAAACATAAAAAAACATGTCAACTTTTATAAAACAAAGAGAGTATATATATATACTCCATATTATATATGGAGTTATATAAAGATTGACGGCAAAGAAAACTTTATTATGTAATGTAGAATTAAGAATTAATTTCATATCTATGATTAAAATGATGATTAATTAAAATGAAACTGTACAAAAATGTGACATGTAAAGTATAGAGACTCTAATAATAACTTGGAATAATTTGAGTTTGCACCCCGTTTTATTGTAAAAAATGGACTTTGCACCATGTTTTTAAAAATCTTTGTTTTTGCACCCCAACCCTATATGAAAATACAAAAATGCCCTCGATCAAGAATATGTTAAAGGTCAATAAAATTGTTAATGAAGGGGCATTTTTGTCTTTCCATATTGGGTTGGGGTGAAAAAACAAAATATTTTTAAAATGGGGTGCAAAGTCCAATTTACACAATAAATTAGTGTGCAAACTCAAATTACCCCTAATAACTTTAGTTATAAAAATTTAACTTTTAAAATTAAGTGACCGTAATGGACTTTTAGTCATGTTTTTTTTTTAAATCTAAAATTAAAGGTCTCACCCAAAATCTTTAATTCAGACAGATTTTTCTTGAGTAAAAAATGGTAACAACCGTTATAAAGATTTCCGAATATAATAAACATATATGTAGTAGGTCCCAAAACTGGTATCCAAAGAGAGCTGCAGGAAGAGGGAGGAGCGGCGATGGGGAAACCTTGGCCTACTCCCTTTCTTTCTCTTTTCTCATTTTCTTTTCGCCTGA